GTGTGTGTGTTCGTGAGTAATGAAAAAGACATAATAAGGCTGATGCTATAAAATGTAGATCTATAATGAAAAAGAAGAATTTTGATTGTGTAGAATGCTGAATCTGTAATGAACAGCAGACGTGGCAGTAGAGACAGATTAAATCTTCATTTTTATTTCAATTGACATTTGCAGTCACAATTTACTTGGCACTCTAATCATGCCTAGTGAAGGAAATTTACATTTTTTATACTATTGTATAGGAAGCGAACAGAGCGAAATAGCATGCAAGTGGCAAGAGAGGTGCCACTTGCATGCAAAAGTGCATAATTATCCAATATGGAGGCTCACCAAGGAAGATTTAGGTTGCTTATTAAGAAAAAGGCTTCAGTTCTTGAAAATTTGAGTTCAAGTTCTGAATCAGCTATATCATCAGCATTACACACGCCATGTGACATAAAATGATAGAGAAACGACACAGTCCAGAAAAGTTCTGATTTTTAGAATAGAGAGAAGAAATACCTAAGTTAAAAATGAAGAATTAAATGGCTATTACTAAATTAAATTATAAAGCTGATTTACATAGTTTTTCATCTTACATGTATGTATATGATTTTTTTTCCCTATGAACATTTATGAAATTCTTTACGATTTCTAAGAACTGCCCGAAAATATGTTATCTCTGCAAAGTATGCTTTAATGAGTTCATTATATGTGAGCTTGTCTATTTTTAGTTTTCGTCCAATGAATGTTGAATGTGAGAGTGACATGCGATTTGTATATTGTGCAGCCTGCATTTGTTATATTCTACAAGACTGGTCTGGTATGGATGTGGAAAAAACAGTTGCTTACATAAAATTGAGCAGAGTAAGTTCTAATACTTTTTTATTGCAATTAACATCACTTAATATGATTATATTTGTCCACAGCTTTTTGATTATCTTAAACATGGAGAAAAAATATTCCTGTAAATATTATTGCGTTTTAACTAATTAAATGGAAATGTGCTAGAAATATATAAATAAATATTTGATATACCAATAAAAATCAATGTATGTCAACTTTTCATAAAACTTAATACAGTCAAAAGTTTTTAATCTGGACTCGTCGGGACTTCAGTGGTTCCGGATTATAGATCATCAATTTAAATAATTTAAATCTGGTAAGATGGCATGCAGAAATTATAAAATTAAAAATATGAAACCGTAATTTATGAAATAAAGAGCAATTATGATTTAAAAGGTATCAAAATTTACCAAAAAAAAACTTAATATTTATTGTTTACTCTATTAAAAATTTCTTTCAACGCGTGCATGCATAAAGCATACATTATGCATAGTCAAAATTAGAAAATTGCAACCAGAAAACTATTTGATGTGTATTCGTGATATTTATAATAACAAGGAATTTGATTTAAATCATATCAAAGACAGAGTACATTGATAAAAAATACTACATTTAGTAAGGAATTATAAGCCGAATAAAAAAGAAACATCTGCCCTGAAGATAAGGAGGACAGATCAACTTCCAGTTCGTTGCGCGCTGACGAGATTAACAACAAATCCACTTTTCTGCTTAAGTTTCAAATGTAAACAAATATGCCTGCTATGGGGAAAAAAAAAATTAGGCTTAGTTGCACTTAAACAACTTTTTAATTGTGGATAATTCTACAACTATAACATGCAGATTAGCTAAAGGCATAAAAACCTTAATTGGAAGATAAGAACAACATAATTCAATCATTTTTAAAGCAAAAAATGCACATTTTACCAACATATAAAATTTAAAACTGAGTTCACGGAGCCGAGCAACAGTGTGTATATATATATATTTATTTACATACTTTTGGTGTGGCCGACTGCCACCAAAAAGGGAGGCGCACAACTACATGATATAGCAATCCTATATACAAAATTTCACAACCTCCTGAGGCTGCTCATTTTTGAGTTATACGAGATACAAATGCCATGAAAAAAATCTCTTCGGAATTCATTTTAAATCAGTTTTATAATTCATATGAGGAAAAGAGTCCTTTATTTTGTCTCTATGTACAGATTTCATGTTAAAAACATTGTTAAATTACATTCAATTGTGGCAAAAATGGATATTTTTCATTGAAATATGGTACCCCCAGAATTTTTCGTGATTAGAATACTTCCTTTACTTCATACAAGGAAGTAAAAAGGTTAAATTAGTAAAATTTGCCATAAAATTGTACTATCTCCTTCATGTCTTTTCTCTATGTGCATTGTTGTATTTTCACTTTGTTAGAAATTTGTGTTGTGTGGAGAGTGATTTTTTTTAAAATCTTTTCAGAATTATGATGGAGGCATTGGGCAGGGTCCTGGATTAGAATCCCATGGTGAGTTTTAGCTCATATATAGGAGGGTTTCTTTTAGGAACTGCAGTACAGTCAAAAGTCGTTAATTCGGAATGATCTATAATCCGGACATCAAAACTAAAAACTTTCTGCGCATGCGCTGCGTTGACACATGCGCAGAGGCGTTCACGCGTGCACGTAAGACCTTTTACGACTGCGCATATGAGTGTGCGCAAGTGCAGAATACGTTTTCACGTGCGCATTTTATGTATAATGGACGTGGAGCTAAATAATTATCTATTTCAGTTAATGTTGATGATTGCGTTGTTCCTTAATTTTCGAATTGCATCCGGCTTATTATTTTTTGCAGACTGTAAGAGCAATTTTATAAAAGTAAGCTTAAACTTTCGATTATATCAAATAGAATTTCCGATATATATTTGTTAATATGTAAAGGATCTAAGGCGAAAGTATGTTTTGATATCCGAAATCTGTTTATCAATTTCACGCTGCTCGGCGGCGGGCGCCTAATGAATTGGAAGTTGATTTGTCAGCACTATCCTTATCTTCAGCGCAGATGTTTTTATTTTATTTGGCTTATAATTCCTTACCAAATGTAGTATTTCATCTTGATATGCTCCGTCTTTGATATGATTTAAAACAAGTTCCTCGTCATTATAATTCGCTTCGGATAGCGAAGAAAAGTGACAGAGGTTATTGAAACAAAAAATTTCGATTGACAAATTAGTCGGTGTTCTTGACACAGCAATTATAGGACTTGAACGGCGGAACTTTGTAACTGAACAAGAAATTATATCTGTTTAATAGAATTAAAGAGAAAGTATTATCACATGAAACGAAGCAAAACTTAAACAACTTACATTGAAAGAAATGTTTTAATAAAGTAAACAAATAAATATTAAGCTTTTTCTTTTTGCAAATTTTGATACCCTTTAGATCCTAATTGTTTCTTTATTTCATAAATTACGGTTTCATATTTTTAATTTTGGAATTTCTGCATGCCATCTTACGAGATTTAAACTGATGATCTACAATCCGGAAAAATCGATAATCCGGAATCGCCGAAGTCCCGACGAGTCCGGATTAACGACTTTTGACTGTATTGAATCTGTAGATATAAAGGCTTCTGTTTCAATTTTTCAAAATCTGACATTATTTCATTATTTTGTTAACTAATTGTAAATATGCTTTTTATAATGAAAAATGCTATGCAAATCTATTGTTTATAAAAATTGTGGGCATTAGCGTTGTAGCAAACGAACAGTTTGCCTTGTTTAAATAAAAACCAGAACTTACCTAAAATAAAACTAATATTTATTTCATAACTTAAAGCAACTGGGTTGTAACAATAGCCTTTACATTAAAACCAATGAGAAAAGAAAATCCAGTTAATACCCACGTGTTCATCAATTCTCGCATGTAAATACACAACACAACATCGGGCAATCCGCCGATACTACATCATTAGCCAATTGGCAGCAACCACATAAGGTTATTGCTGATTGACCTCTGATCTAATTTGCATGAGGAAAACCAAATAACAAAACATTAAGTCAGCAAAAACAATTTACAGCATTTAGCATTTATTTAAATCGGGATTGATTAAAATTATGGATGATTTAAATGTGTTAAATCATCCATCATGTGAAATTGGAATAAAAAATTATAAATTATCTATCATATTTAAATTGCTTTAATTAAAAAAAAAAAAACCCTCAATGTTCCCTTCTTAATATATAGTTGGCCTCATAAGTGATGTTTGTCATCCATCTAAAATAAAATGCTTGTAAATCTATAGTTCTCATAAGGAATTTATTGCTGAAGTTAGCATTGGGGGGGGGAGTCCAATGAGTATGGAAAACAGTACATATTTTGAATGAAGCAACTTAATGATATAGATGGCTAGGTGATACATACCTACTGCAGAGTTAGAAAAAGCCTAATTCAGATATCCAAATTCTTTTCGGTCTGACTGGTTAATGATGGATTTTTCATTATGCACAAGTGCTTCATAATTTTTTGTTAACTGAAGAATTCTGTACAGCAGAATCTATTGATTTTTTATAAAACATGCATTTGCTATCAATATCCTGCTCACATCTTGCACTTCTAATGACTTCCCAATCTATCTTCACCTTGTGGAAGTCAATTTTTCTCCTTCTGTTTTCTAAATTACTTTTTTGAGAGATCAAATTGGTTGAAAGATTTATTTTTACAATCCATATCGTTAAAAATGAGCCAAATATTTTCATCCAATTTTAGAAGTGGAAAATTTTCTACTGTTTTTCTTATTTCAGATATATGTTATGAACTAACATCTGAACTGGGATTGCACTGCATGCAGATATTTAAAAAGTGCCAATAATTTGAGTTTCATTTTATGTGCTTAACATATTTGCATACTTATGCATGTAATTCTTTCCTTTTTAAACTGATTTTATTATTTAAAAATTGTGAGGAGGAAATTGTAATTACTGGGCTCAATATTCTCAATCCCCCCTTTTTTAATGGAAGAAAAACTTGCCAATATATAATTTAAAAAAGCAACCTTAAATTGATGTAGATTTTGAAAAAAGTATTGATTTCAAGGGCATGCTTTTTGCCTTATTTTGAAACTTCTCCCCACCCCATTTTTTGTGTTAACTCCTTAGAGCAGTGGTCTCAGATTGTATATGAGCCTAACGCACAGTCTGAAACAGCTGATAGTTTGGTTGTTTTTTTTTTTTTTTTTTTTTTTTTTTTTTTTTTTTTTTTAAATCTAAATTTAATTGGAAAAAAATTTATATTCATTTTCTGCTTGAAGTCTAAGGGTTGGTACCTACAATTCGTTTATTCAAACGTTGAATTTTAGATTAACATTTATTTTGGATAATTCCAGTATGTTGAATTAACCACTAGATAACTTACATTTAACCTCAACTATAAAAACTGGAAATTTGAGAATATTAAAGTTCCATGAGCTGTCAGCTGCCAAACTAGATTTAATGACTGTACCAACATGAAAAATTCTCCCACTTTTGCTTATTTACTTGGCCCAGTGTACAAGCATACATTGACAAAGTCCCAGCCTACGCATTTTATATTTTTGACTTCATTAGCAGTCATGCACTATGCAATATAAAATTTGTATTCATTATATTTACCAATAAAAGATTATGACTGTAAATTTTAAAAATAAGTAAAGGAGGAGAAAACTGTAAATTGTGCCTTCAATGGTAAGTGGTGTTATTACTTTGTACTTCTTATCTAATTTATTGGATTATTACCCTCAAGTGGCAACATGATATCATTGTTTCACACTTTTAGTTGGAAAGATGCTCTATTCTATTTAATATAACTTTGTCTTTAATATCATATCCTGGAGAGTGGATCATGTAGGTGTGCTGTCTTTACATCTCTATCCATTCCTCTTTTTTTACTTCAGCAGTAGACTAAGATGAGTAACCTTGGCTAAGATCTTGAAAAAGGAACAAGTAGCCATAAAATGTATATGCAAAGAATACCAGTTTGAGAAATTCCAAGAGTATTATTACTCTGTTATCATAACAGAGTTTTCTTCTTGAGTTTAGAAGATTAAATTAAAAGTTATGTGAATAAATCAGAAGTTTTTAATCATACTAAAAGTATTGAAGGAAATGGTTCAGTAAATTTACTATACTGCATTTAAGAAAATTTGATGTTTTTCACTGACTTTTTTTTTAATCAAAAGATCTTGATAATTGAGTTGTATATTTCCTGCAGTCTAAATGCATACTCTCTAAAATGCAAGCTAGTTTTTTCCCCCAAGGAGGGAGGGGTGTTTTTATTTCAAAAGTAAGAAAATTTAAATAATTTTATTTCCTTAAAATTTAAGTACAAGAAAATATTTTTCCAACAAAATTAAACAATGATCTATCCTTCAGTATGTGGCTCATTTTTATTTGAATTAAAGCAATGAAAGTAGTTTTTATTTACTTATCACTTAAACACATATTCTTGTTATTATTACTGGAATAAAATAAAGCAGAGACATTATTTTTAATTTGTGTAAAACAAAACACAAAACCTAATTTTATTCAATGAAAACTGAACTAACATTTTTTAAGGCATAGGTTTTTTTTTGGGGGGGGGCTTTATTTAATACTGCAGTTCAAAAATCTAATGTCCAGACGTTCAACATCCGTAATGATTTAAAATCTGGATCACCAGCAACTTCTCCCCCCCCTTTTCTTAGCATTTTTTGTTGTTGTTGTACTTTGTTTTTATTCTTTACACATGTGCGTTTGATATTTTTTCATAATAAAAACATGTGGATAATCCCAATTCGTAATTTCATTTTGTCACTAAATAAATTACCTCTGTACTGAAGAAACAATCCTTTATTAACATAAATCTGTATGATCAATAATTTCACTCCATTCCGCCCTTTTTGTTTGGCATACCAAACCGAAATTTCCTACATCAAAACATCATGAATTTTATGCTCATTGAATAATTTATGTTCCTGGTGAATCATTATTATTTTTTGCTTTCATCACCATATGATGATCAACACATGGCAACTTGACAAATGACTCATGCAGCAATGTCTAAGCACTTTTTTTTCCTAAGCACTTTTTATATATATATATATTATTAATTGAATACCAAAGATCAAGGTAACCTTTTATGTTGACACTAGGCTTGGTGATTATTACAGATTTCACCTAACTGTGCTCTAAAATATATTGAGTGTGTTAACAAGGTGAAATTTAACAGAATTTTTTTTTCCATACGTAAAAAATAGATTTTGTAAATGATTACATTTAAGGCTGTTTGAATTAAAAATAACTGATGTGTTATTCATATAAGCCCAGAAGAGAATTTACGAGAGGCAAAATTTGTAGAATTTTGAGAAGCGCCAAGTAAAAAAATTAAGGGATTGCAAAGGCTTTAGAATTTATGGAAGGCACTTGGATGTAAAATTTTTAAAATTTAAGGAGGTTCTTTGCAGCAAAATAAAGTATCTACAGAGACTGCAAAAGGCAGCAGCAAAATGTCTA